CTTCAATGCCAAGAAGATCGATTAGAAGGCTTTCCAACATCAAACACGTTTTGAGGTACACTTTTATTTTATATTTTAAAGTTGCAACTTGCAACCCTATAAAAAAAATTTATATATACCGAGAGATAGCGAAGATATACAAGCTACAACAGGCTTGGACTTTGTGAGATTTGTATTATCGGTTGTTGGGGAAGTATTTGGTGGAACCTAAGAGAGAATATATATACGTGTGTTCTGCACGATTATTAGGTAAGCTCAAGCTACGCAAGACCAAGATCCCACTAACACAATGATTTAATAAAAAATAAGTGAAATGATCATCCCATGCTTTAAAATATAGTATTTTTTTAATTAACCAATGGTGACGTGTTTTGTTTTAATTAAATCAAATGTACTTTCTAAAGTAAATAAAAGAAAATGCATATTTTTATCTCTTGGCTACTTTTTTCTAAAATAATACAACTAAGCTATGTACAGCCCAATCACGGACAACAGAGATTTCTCGAGTATGTATTAAACTGCCCCCATAGTTACGAGGGTGGGTGTGGTTTTCATATGTCCGCGGCTTCACGATATTTGGTAAAGATTGTACCTCAACTTGTAGCTTCAGCATGGGCCGAGTACTACAAGTGCATTTTTACCCTTACGGGTTTTGAATATCCAAAAATAGTACAGATCAAGGGGCTCTACAAGATACACCAACTTTTTAGGCTTAGAAATGAGATCCCTTCAAATGTGATCCTCTTTAGAATTGATGAAATTAAGATCTAAAATACATTTCAAGTCACCATAGATACAGTCTTTAAATCCATGATTGGAAAGCACAAAGAGTATATAATAAACGATCAGAACAGTGTCTCAATTACTATATATTTTACCTTCATTTTTTCCTTTTTATTGATATTCATGGTCATGGCAATTGAGATTATCCTGATCTATAAATCTGTGGAACTAGAACTTTTTAAGTCCAAATCCATCTCAAGTAAGGTTGTTGAGAGAGCCCACATTTAATCATGAGCATATTGGCTCATGCACCAAAACCCTGTCCTTTACATAAGGCTCATTCAGACTAAATGAATCTGATTTTCCCATATTAGCAAAATTACTTTCTAAATCATACAAGAAATCCAGAGTAGAAAAAAACCTGCCATTTATAATATTATTGAGCACATATGCTATACAAGGAATAATGGAGTCTGGTCTGGACAAAAAGAGGGCTTCATGATAGACTGATGATTCATGTCCAGCATCCATTGAGGAAGATGGATGGTGGATACCTCTTCGCGCAAAGAATACTACAAATGTATACAATGGCTGAACTTTCTTTTTGTAATATGCTAACCAAGGGAATGGAGGGTGGGACATTATGATGAGGCATTTGCCCCCCTAACCACCAATGCCCCAACCCGATTCTCACAACAGCTCCACATATTGTGGCTCCACATATGCAGGTGCACTCCGATATTACACAAATTAGGAGAATTAAGATAATACCCACAGTGCACTCTGAAATTACGCAAATTAGGAGAATTAAAATAATACCCACAAAAATAGGAATGCCCCAAATCACGTCTCACTTTGGTTCGATGACTAGGCTTGCAAGTGCTAATGCAATAGTAGAACATGGACATCCACGTGTCAATGCCTAACTGAAAACAAGTGTCAAAAAGGCTTCTATCAAAATTAACCTTCCAAACAAGATTCGTCTATAAACCATTTAAAAAAAGAGCGGTGATGCAGAGTTTTAGGCAACATAGGCGATTCCTATACCAATTTCTAAGTGTCAGATACTGCTGTCGTGTCCTTAGTGTAACGATTCAGGCAAAAAAATCGACATACATGACAATGTTATTATGTAGGTCTCATTTGATTGTTTCAAAGTTCCTTCCCCTGCTGTTGAGTTAGACATTCATATGGCAAATAGAGCTAACCACCACGCTACTAATGGCCACCATCCTATCAATCAACCATTTGATTTCTAATCCAACGGTTGGGAAAGAAGCTCCCACGCAACCAAATACAAGGGACCTCCCACCTAATTTACATTATAATTTTTATATAATAAGCCAGGAAAATCATCTTTCTTATAAAACGAGAAATTTATCAAAATACACATCACATTTTAACTACTTAACAATTTACCCTTTTTCTACTATTCCAAATCATAATCATGTGAAATTTTATAGGAATTTTGAAATTAACTTAAGATCATATGAGTAAAATGTTAAATAGTTGATCTTATAGGTGCATTATGACAAATTTCCCTCATTATAAAAGGAAAGGATTGGAATGGTATACTCAAAATACTAAGCCTAATTTGAACTCAAAAGAGAAGCCAGCCTACTAAAGATCTTCCAGGGATGGCACAGTCCTGATCCTAATGGCTATAACTGCCTTTTCCTTAGCTTTCCAGATTTGCAAACCCTAACCAAGGCTTAAATCTGCATGATTACTTCATATTTATGGCCTAAAGTGGCTTCTCCTTGCTGCCTAGTAGAAATTCCAATAACCTTTACCGTCGCACTCTTGATGAGGGTTTTGCTCGAGCAGTCGGTCAATTAAAGTTGACCTCCACGCATGATGCTCCTTGGTCACCGAATGTTCTCGTCGAGGTTCTCTTTTGTTGTTTTTCAACTTTACGGCAAGTTGGTAAGTGCCACCCACTCGCCAAAAAGAATCAAAGTTTAACTTTATCTCAAACGGGAAGACGAAGCCGGCTAAATAACAACCAATGTACTATTTCTCAGTCTCGCTCGGGTCATTCCAGGTCATGAGCGGGCAGAACTACATATGGACGTATTCGATACCTTGATGGAGATGAAATAGCACCTCATTGTTATCAGTAGGGAGGAATTTTGGAGGGACGTGCCTTTCATCCTGTCCCATGAACAAATATTATCTTTCATATGCCTTTGTTCTGTTAGGACTTGCTTCTACCAAATTAAAGAACGTCCTTTCCATTTCAAACTCACAAAGTTAACATTCTATCTTCTGGCTCACCTTCCATACAAAAATAGTTCAATGCTTTCCAACCGATATAGGAATCATCAGGTTGCAATCAGCTATGGGAATCTGTTCAACATGAACTCCATGATCCTGACTTTGTTCCAAGTCCGTTACACGACAATCCTCAATTCGATTCACCTCTGTTCCCGAAGAAGATTCTTTGAATTCCCAACTCCATTGTCCTGTCCACCCTCTTCAAACGGGAAAGAACGGGTTCATGGCCATGCTTTGAACCATGAAACTTGAGTTTTCGTGCACTATGCCTGTGCTTCTCGACACAATAGAAAATGTGTTAGTTGATCTATTTGTTGTTGGAGACATGCCCTGCTGGTCCTCATATTCATCTACAATCACGCCTAAGGCTGCCATTGAACTGTAATGATCTACTTGGTGTAGGGAATAATCAAGGGTCACCTAAATCAACTTGTTCCGAGACTAAAAATAATGTAAACCAACATTAGAGTAAAACTCTCTCTCTAAACGCAGTCAATGCTAGTGGGATAACATAAAGTCGAAACGAAATGGAAGTAAGAGTTCAATAAGAAAATGAACAATGAATAATGAATAAGCAAATAATCCGACAGGAATCCTTCAACATAACAAGATCACAACTAAGAAGAAGCTCAACAGTTCTAAATTCAAACCTCATAAAGCAAAAATTTGTCTTCCCACAAAACCTTGATTTAAAACCCTCCAAACTTCCTCTTCAATTTGTTTTTTTTTTTTGCTGAATCAGCTTAATGTGGGTTTTTTTTTCTCTCGTGCAGAAAGAAGCCAACCCATGCAAACCCCAAAACCAATACAACACTTCCCAAAATTCATGCTTCTAATGCTTGAAAACAACTTTGAAAACATCAACTTGATATTTAATGAAATATATATAATATTTTTAAAATATGCCCCTTTCAAAATATAATGACTTATGGTCTCATTAAGGGTATCACCCTTGATAGAATGGAATGGCGGACCAAGATTCGTGTGGTGATCCCAAATAGTTTTGATAAGACTCAAATGATGATAATTTCCAAACTAAGCATGTACCTACATATCAAAATTCCTAGAACTAACCAAGAATCATGCATCAATATTAATGTTTTGTATTTTCACCATGACCCAATGTGAAGTCCATATGACAGTTTTCATCAGGGGTTGCACTAGGAAGTTTCATCAAGGGTCACAGTAGAGGGAAGTTTCAAAACAAAATACAATAATAGTTGTGGATTGGGATTAAGCATAAACATGAACCAGCTAGGAAACAAGAGCATTTGCTCATCCCCATCCTAATTTTTAGATGGAATTTTCGATGAGAGGTTGGCAGAATCTAGGAGACTCTTTATTATTTAGGAAAGATATTTAAAAGTTTAAAGGCTCTAAACAGGCAAATGAGGTCACGTCTCAAAAATTCACTAGAAGATGTTGTTTTGATGCTGAGAAACCCTCAATTCGATCATCTCAACCTCAAGATGTATTGACATGCATCTTCCACCAGGGCGAGGAAGCGGGGAGTCAGGGACCTTTAAGTCGCTTCTCGCACCGACCCAGGAAAGAACCTGGGAGCCGGACTGTGAGTCTTGACTCATAAGGAGTGTAGGGAGGAAAACTTGAGTAGTTCGCTTCCCTGGGACAGTCACGAATGTGGGGATAAGAAAGTTCCCGACCCAGATGAACGGGTTGAATAACCCAGATGTCATAGAATGTAATACAGAAAGTAAAAAGTGATACTGAGTAAACAAGAGCGAACCGATGAAGGGGTAATAAAGTCCCCAGTAAAGTCACCAGGCTGGTTAGGTGCCTCGATCTCGTCTCCACGGATCTAGTTGATTGGGTGACATGTGTCTCGGGTTCGGAAGGCCCGGGACCTAAGATCGCTCTCTCGAGAACCACATTAACAAAACAAGGGCAGGTGTCCAACTAGTGAGAGAGGAATTTTGAATGTGAGGTGGGGACCAACCTCACCTGGGTCCGTGACTTACTCGGGCTGACTCGCATGGGCGCCCACTTAGATCACGATGGAAAGCCTCCAGCTGGTTCGAAATCGCCTCCATTGACCTGCAATCTCCTTGTTTTCTGCACAACACTACTATGGTTAATTTGCATGACAAGTGGGCCGAAAGACCCACCCTTGTCTTAGGGCAATGCACCTTCGTATGGATGAAAAGGTGAGAAATTAGGGTGATGAAGTGGAACGTTCAAATAAAGGTCGAAAAGAGAAGAGAACTTGATGAAGGGACGAGACTAGCATGATAGTCGGATAGTAACCGACTCGGATTGGTAGCAAGACGGGCATGGTATTTAGGACCAACACGACGATAATACTACCCGAAATCGAGGCCAATATAACTGTCCTAATCTGGTGTGGCAGCAAGACGGACATGGTACTCAGAACCAGCACGACGACAATATTGCTCGACAGCCAGACTGTTATGGCGGTACTAGACTAAGTCAACCTTCAGTCAAGTGAGAACAGGAGAGTGTGAAGAGAAGGCGCGAGACGGCGAAGAGATGGGGTCCCGACGGCGCTAGGTGTTGCCACCCACAACTGTGGAGTAACAGTGTCGTGACCCTTGGACAGCGCTAGACACTACTGCTCACGGTTAGAGGGTGAGTAGTGAACTACAAGCGGTGTTGGGCATCGTCGTTGGCAACACGAGAAGGCAGCACACCCCTATGTGGGTGGCGATAGTCTCTTGTGAAGTAGATGACGATAGTTCTTTTCAATGCGTACGGCGATAAGCGTTGGATGCAAGAGAACCTGCGGACGACGAAGGGCACTGAACGTATGAAAGAGGCTTGCGGATGGCAATAGGCACCGAGCGCACGAAGGAAGCTCGCAGACGACGATAGACATCGAGCGTGCGAAAGAAGCTCGTAGACAGTGATAAGTGTTGTCGTGACCTCTCCTGGGTGGTGATAGGCATCGCCGTCTTTGATAAGCACGCAACAAGGGGAGTCCCCTACGGGCGGCAATAAGTTTCACCTTCTGTGCTCTTCACTAAGACGTCGAGGACACATCTATGGGTGGAGATGAGCAACGCGTCTGCGAGCCTCGCTGAGAGACAGAGATGGACGAATAGTGGGGAAAGAAGCTCGCGTATAGTGCTGCCATCGCCATGCGCGACCTGTGAACCCACAGGAGGGGGAAAAAAAAAGAAAGAGGCATGCACGACACTACCACTGTCGTGCATGGCCTCTGAGGGAGGCTCAGACGAAGAAGAAGAAGAAGAAAAAGAAGAGAGAGAAGAAGAAAGGGAAAAAGACAAGAGAGAGAAAGATTTACCTTGAGTTTGGGTACCGATCCAAAAGTTTCTCTCCTTCCTCTCTCTCTCCAAATGTGACCCAACAATAGGCAAGATGAAAATTTTATTAAGCAAGTGAAGGGTTCTTTGTACAATGGTAGTACGTGGTATATATATAGTTGTGCCCAAACATTGGTGGATTGACAAAAAGTAAACCTAATTGCTGGAAATTAAAATTTAATTGAATTAAAAGAAATTAGAAAATGGGGTGCAAAATGATAGATTTGCCCCTTCCTAACAATTTTTGAAATTTCAAGACAATCCCTGTGCTGCCCTAAGACGTGCATGATTTTTCATGGATGATCCCGGGTTGTTCTGATACCCATTTGATTGAAAGATGATTGTTTTCTTATAGGGCTCGGCATGACGATCAATTTGATACCAACTTCGAACCATGGATCATGTCTCTTCAAGTGTTCAATAGATTTGTTTGATCTACACTTTTTTTTAATTTTTAAATTTATATTTAGAGATGAAAATAAATTTCAAGCCATCACAAAGATTTATGATACTAAAACAAAAACAATATGTTTCGGCATTATTTGAAGGTTGCGCCTACTTTGATTGTTAAGGGCCTCGGCCTTATACGAACCACACCGTTTAAATTCTTATTGCTTAAATCAATGTCCAAATATTAGGAATATTTGGATCGTCTAGAGCTGAAATATATCAGTGGCTATATTGTGGTTTGAAATGCGAAAATAAATTATCGAAAATTTATCAAATTACCCAATATAGATGAAGTAATAACATTCTGCGTATTTGCAACTATTCAAAGACAAGACCATGCATTTTTCCATGGGTATTTTGAAATTAAATTAAAAGATATGAGAAAAGTGTTAAGTTATTCATCCCCCGAAAAAAATAATCTATTATGCGAAATAAAGAGAAAATAAGTTGAGAAAAAAGTGTAATGCTTTGGTCAATGTCGGAAAATTTGGTACATACATTTATCACTTTTCCGTATGGTATTTTTGTAATTCTAGTACTACTTAAGAGGTCAATCTTGTGTCAGTTTTGAGAGGATATCTTTCTTAACAGGAGCTATTTTTGAGAGACATCTCTATGCTCTGCATTCCAAGTCATGTAGAACATGAAACAGACAAATATTCAATTTAAACTTTATTGGACTCCTCTTTTTTCCTTGTAGCCTACAATAAAATTAAACTCCCGAGCATTTAAAAACTTCAATATAGGTATGAAATGTCTCTCATTTTGATGGTTAACAATTTCTCATTGTGATTGTGCGAATATGTACAAAATGTGTAATGACAAATTTAACAAGAGAGCACAAGAGGGGGAAACGAGTATAAACCTACTTAACATAAGACACCTTCGTCTCATGTTTTCGATATGTGTCAACACATCAAGGACATGACACTTGTGTTTGACACTTTAGAAACTTAGACATTTATTTTTAACCACTTGTTGAAATGTCACAATAAAAGTACTTGAATACCATATAAAATCCTACCTCCCCCTTCTCTAAATGATATACAGATGTGCCATCTCTAAAAGACCAATTTTGAAGTTGACACGTCTAGCATTCATATCTAAGACACTAATTCATGTCCTAATGTCTTTGTAACTACAGAGATTGGGGTGAGATTCAATCTTAAGATTGAATCTCAACAACAAAGGGAATGGTGCAGATTATATTGGGGATAGATAAATGAATATAGATGATTGTGGTGGCCCTTGTAACTATTTTATTTGATTCCATGCCACCAAAGGACAAACAAGCGGGTGAAGATTATAGTTTTGAAATAATACTAACATTTCTTTTTTTTTTTTGAGAAAGTTAACCTGAAATATTACCAACATTATAAGGGACTTAGTAGCTCCTTCAAGCATAAAATAACCTATTTCCAGGCAGTTTATTTATCGCCATATGTGGGCATAATATAATTTAGTATTAATTAAAAAGTTACAAGTTTCAAAGAAGCACAATGATTACATGAATACATAATAAATAATTTACAGATATACAATCTTATATAATACTTATATGTGATATCTAATGTTGAGCACATATATTACGCTCCCATGGGAGCATAGTCTACTTCTAGTACCTTGGTCAGATGACCTATTTGGGAGGATTTTTTTCAATCTGAAATTTTGGTGACAACCATAGAATTACTAGATAATTACTCAAAATATATTTTGACATTAAATTTTTCTACCACTTAGATCTCACCCTCTAAAATTTGGACGGTTTCTATTCAATCTTGAGACATTATTTTATTCAAAAGCTTAAATGGTGCAATTACGAAATTTTGTTATTCAGGTTAATCTATGGGTGTTTTTGTTTTAGAATAAGGTTAATCTATGTGTTAAAGAGGTGACATCCGCAAAATTTGGGATCCTAGACTAATCGTAAAACGGGTTTTACTAGAGGGAGTAAATGAATAATATACTCCCGAGGGAGTAGAATATATTTTAGCTCCAATGTTAATGACATATGCTCAATTATATTTTCAGTTTCTTATAAGTATTGGTTTCAACAATGAGTTTCTAGCCTGCATTAGTTCCAATACTACTAAAGAGGAAATATGTTACAAAGACAGATATGTAATAGAGTTTTAGTTTCCTATAGACATGGAATCGACAATGAGTTTCTAGCCTGCATTGGTTCTCCAATACCACTGGAGAGGAAATATATTACAAAGACATAAATATTCGTGTTAGCATCTGACACAGATACAAGTGTCAAAAATGTCAACCCCAAAATTAGCCTTTCAGACACAACACGTCAATATATCATTTAAATAGAGGGGGCCTATAACTTTAAGTGACACTAAAGTACTTTTGAAATGAAATTACAACAAAAGAAGTTAACAAAAACATCTAAATTTCTAAAGTGTCAAACACAAGTATCGTGTCTTTAATATATCGGCACACACCAAAAAAACATAGACACGTGTTCATGTGACACAGGAGAGGAGTTTCCAGTAAACTACAAACAAAACTTCCCATAGTCCTAGATTGTGCCTCGGAGACAAATAAGAACTGATATATACTACTATACTAGTCATCTATACAAGTTTCAAATGGGGCAAGGCGTTTGGCAAGATAATTCAGAATTTCAGATATGTAAATCCCTTGAGCCCCTAGAAAATATGGAAGACATTCCCATACTGAAATCACAATGAACTTACCGTTCAAAGCTGCCTCCATGACTAGAAGTACCAGAGCAATCGAACAAACAAGTTTTGATTTGATCCTAATAACACCCATAGGTTGGTCGAAATATCATGAACACAACTGAGAGACAGTTCTGATGTGGACTCTCTCTCTCTCTCTCTCTCTCTCTGCCTTACACTATGCCAAACAAATCCACCACGCTGCAAGATAAAAAGAGAATAAGCTGAGAAGAAAGTGTGTAAAATTCATGAATACTTTGTTATTATCACTTTTTCCTATATTTGCCATACAATATGTCCAGAAGTTTTTTATAATAACTATTCTTTATGGTGTGTTTGTAATTATAGAATTGGTCATAAAATTTAAGAGGTCAGTTTTGCATCAGTTTGATAGGATATCTATTTTAACAGGATCAATCTTTGAGAAAGATTATATACTTAACAGTTCATATTTCAAGTCATTTAGAACATAAAATAGATGAGAAAACTATTCCATCCAAACTTTGCTAGGCTCCTTTTTTCCCCTTGCAGCCTCCAATACAGTCAAATTCCAGTAGCTACGCATTTAAAATCTTACTTATACATATAAAATAGGGAAAGTCTCCTGTCCACATGATGTAGACAGTGGAAGGGCACACAAGCCCTTTCCAATGGTTCAAATTAGACATTGTCACATCCAACAGCCACAAAAGAATTTTATTTTTTATTTTTTATGTTTTATTTAAAAATGATATTTATTTAAACTTTTGGTTAGATGTATTTTTACATAATGCACCATAAAAAACAACAAAAAAATATTTTAACCAAAAATTGACAAAAATAACCTTAATTAGGGGTATTTTGATCGACTTTTTGTTTAAAATATTTTTGATTGTTTTTATTTGCTGCTCCATATATAAATACATGCATGACCCAAATTTGAGATAAATATTTTTAAAAATAAAATTAAAAATAAAATGTGAAATCCTTTTTGGGCCATTGGATAATACTAGCTTCAATTTGAATCTTTAAATGGTGCTCGTGTATCCTTCAAGAATCCATAGCATGGGATGTTATACTATTTCTCCAATTGATTAACAATTTCGCATTGGATTGTGTGAAATGCACAAGAATGTGTAGAGCTGGATTCAATTAAAAAAAAAAAACCAGAGAGAGAGCACAGGTGAGGGAAACAAGGGTACAAACCGATGTGACATAAGACATAGTTGTCTATTGTTTGTAGGGCATGTCGACACACCAAGGACACGACACTCATGTCTGACACTTTAGAAACTTAGACACTTCTTTTTAAACCTCTTGGTTTGAAATGTTATTACAAAAGCACTTAATGTCACATAAAATAATACCTCAACCCCTTTCAAAATGATGTATTGACATGTCAGATCTAAAAAGCCAATTTGATATTAGCATTTATAACACTCATATCCATGTCAAATGCTGACACACGTCTCTATATCTTTGATTAAATCTCAACAAAATAATGAAGTCACGAAGGGAATGTTACAGATTATATTGGAAACTAAGTAATGAATATAGATCACGTCTCCCACTGTCGAACCAAGGATTCAGCCAATTTATTGGATTCTCTCTATATAAAACATAGCTCATGATTATAGTTTTGAAATATCACTAAAATAATAGGAATCAAAGTAATAGTAAACAGCACATTTCTGGACATTTTTATTGTAGCAATTTTTTTTTGAATAAATGTGGTGCAATATAATTTAATACACATCAAACAGTCACAAGTTTTAAAGAAGTACAGTGTACACACACAAGCAGAATACATAATTTATAGATGTTTTTATGTAACATGCATATGTAATATACTAGTGAATTTACATGCATTGCATGTATTAGATCAATTTAAATATGTATAAGACAAAAAATTTGAATAGAGATGACACGTTTCTCTAAAATAGAATTAAAGACTGACACTATTAAAGAGGAATATTTAAAAGTGATAAAAAAAACGTAGGATCCAATCCATTCAGGTATTAATATTTTCATATAAATGTAATTAATAAAATATAATTATAGAAAACCATCATTGTTGTATAATGATAGTTTTCAAAATAATGTAATAATTATATTATTATATAATTCATAGCGAACTAATAAAAAATAACTATAATCCACTATAATATTATAATTTATTATATTATAACATGCATATGTAATATACTAGTAAATTTGCGTGCGTTGCATTTAGTAGATCAATTTAAATATGTATGAGATAAAAATCTGAATAAATATGAGATGTTTCCCTTGGATGGAATTAAAGAAAGACGCTATTCAAGTGGAATATTCAAAAAAATATAAAAAAAAACGTAGAGCCCAATCCATTAGGTGTTAATGTTTTCATATATACGTAACTTGTAATATATAATTATACAAAATATCATTGTTGTATAATGACAGTTTCACAGTTATGCAATAATTATAATATTATATAATCCATAGTAAACTAATACAACATAATTATAATTTATTGTAGTGCTACAATTTCTTAATATTATATTATTGAAATTTTTGAAAAAATATTATATTATTGAAATTCATATATCATTATATATTATCATTACTATATCATTACAAAAATATTATATAACAATAATAATCTATTTTAAAAATATCATTATAATTTAATCCAACTATATAGCTAGAATAATGCAATTCATACTATAAATATAATTATATAATTAAATTATTAATACAAATATAATTATTATATTAACAATATTTAAGAATTTAATTGATATGTAAGTGTGTGTGCACATGAGTGTGCATGTCTCATTATATAATTACAATATATTAGTAATATTTATTATAATTACCTCATGCTTCGATCTCCCATAAATTCTAGTAATTTATAATTATTTTATTAATAATATTCATGGGTCAGCATTGAGCCCGTACTTCTTTGTCTTAATTATGAATGACTTAACTAAGCACATGTAGGATGAGGTACCTCGGCGCATGTTTTTCGCAGATCACATAGTTTCGATCGATGAGACCCGAAACGATGTCAACACAAACTTAGAACTTTGGAGGGATGCTCTAGAAACCAAAGGTTTTAAAATTAGTCATACTAAGAAAAAATATATGGAATGCAAATTTAGTAATAATAAGAGTAGAGACAAGGAAGTAGTTAACATTGACGACCAAGAAGTACAAAAAGACCACACTTTCGATACCTTGGGTCATCATTCCAAGAAAATGGAGAGATTGAAGAAGATGTCGCATAAAGAATTAAAGCTAATAGGCGAAATGGAAATGTGTAACTGAAATTTTATGTGATTGCTACATACCAATGAAGCTTTCTATAGGACAATTGTGAGACCAGCTTTGCTTTATGGGGAGGAATGTTGGGAGGACAAAAAATAATATACCCATAAAATGAGTGTAGTGGGACGGATGAGTGACAAGACAAGAAGAGATAGAATCTAAAATGAATCTATTCAGGAAAGTTTAGGTGTGGCACCAATAGGCGATAAGATAAGTCAGAATAGACTTAGGTGGGCTGGCCATGTGTGGTTTAGACCTAGTACAGCACTTTTTAGGAGCTGCTAGTTAGTTCAAGTGGAAAGATTGGAAAGGGTAATAAGTAGACGCAAAAGAACATGGTTGGAAGTAGTCAAAATAGATATGGGGAATTATGGCCTTACTGAGAGTATGGCCTTAAATAGAGCAAAATGGCATACCAGGATTCATGTAACCGACCCCAATTAATTGGGAAAAGGTTATGATGATGATGATGATTAATAATATTCAAGAATTTATTGATATATAAGTGTGTGCTTACATGTGTGTATATTTCATTATATAATTAAAAAATGTTAATAACATTTATCTGAATCAACTTGTGTTTCGCTCTCCTTAAGATCTAGTCATTTATTGATAACATATTTAGGTTTTATCGATACACATTTTCTTTATCATCTTTTAGGAAACAAACGAAAAAAATGGAAAGAAGAAATTTGATGTTTGAAATACTTTTATCATAATATTATACAAATCTTGATGTTATGATATTATAAAATTTTATAGTTATTACCATAATGAGAAATTATTATACAGTTATAATAATGGTAATAAGAAATTATTATACAGCCATAATATTCATAATGAGAAATTATATAATTATAATAATGGTAATAAGAAATTGTTATACAGTTATAATATTCATATTTAATATTAATAATAATTATTATTATTATTATTATCATTATAATTATTATCATCATCATCATCATCATCATCATCATCATCATCATCATCATCATCATCATCATCATCATCATCATCATAGTAATAATAAACATATAATAATTTATTATTATCTACTTATACATTAGAATATATTTATTTTTACCTTAATATATTTTAACAATATGTATTTCATACACCATATACTTCTTTCCAAAAAAGATAGAATTTGCTTCTTTTTTTTATTGAAAATTTGGAAAGATAGCCCGTATCAAATGCCCTAAACTTCTCTATCAGAACTTCATATGCCCTATATCCTCTCTAGAAATAGGATTCCCCTTTATTTTTGCAACATGTGTCTACCCATTAACTGTGTTTAAAAATGTAGCATAGATACAGATAATGTTTACCATGTAGCTTGCATAATTAGATAAAAATGGATAACAAGAGAAAACATGAGAACCAGAAATGAGTGGTACGACATTAGGTAAGGCACGAGGATGATAGCCACAACATTGACAGATGCTTAATTAGAGTTTCAGTTTCTTATACACATGGGTTCCACAATGAGTTTCTAGCTAGGTAATATGTAATAAAGACCCAAATATGTCTCAGCATTAGACTCGAATATAAGCATCAAAAACACTAGCACCAAAATTAGATTTTCAGACATAACACATCAGTACTTCATTCAACTAAAAGAGGGAAGTGAGATTTTAGGTGACAATAAAATAATTTTAATACGAGAACTTCAACAAAAGAGGTTAAAAAGAAGTGCCAAAATTTCTAAAGTGTTAAGACACAAGTATCATGTTCGTAGTGTGTCAGCACACCCCAAAAAGCATAGACACGCTTGTCCATCTTCCATAGGAAAGGAGTTTCCAGTGAACTGCACACTTTCCATAGTAGTAGATTGTGCCTTCAAAAAGAATGCAAGCCAATACGTTCTACTAGTCGTCAATACAAGTTTCAAATTGAGCAGACCATTTGGC